AAGGAGAAATTATTGTTGACAAATACATGAATAAGTATTTAAAATGTCCCTATATCTGCTTGCAACTAATAAACATTCTGCCAAATTCAATATTTTCCAGAGAACAAACAAGAAACAATGTGAATTTGTCCTGATGCTGACTGAAGAGAGAGATGAAGCACTGAACAGATGGAGGGATAGATGTCCTACCGTAAGTACTGCAGTCCATCCCAGCGTGTAAGGAGTTGGGGATCAGGTGGAGGAAACTGAGACCACAAAGGGGGGAATGGGGCTTTTAATATGTTGGATGGGAGGGGAGGAGAGTACCGACTGTGATGGACAGCTGTCAATCATGTGGATGTGGGAGGGGCAATAAGGACAGGTCCGAGGCCAAGTGCAAAATCCACAAATCAGTTAATAGAGTGGGTGAAAAAATATCACAGGACATTATGAGGCAATAACACTCTGTATATTTGGCTGTAAGAAATTGTAAAACTCATACTATCAGGGGGTGGCCGGAGCTGTGAATTAAATAAATGTGACACAAAGCAATGCCCCAGTACCTGGATTCAGAGTCAGAGTGCACTGACTGTGGAATCCAAACATAGTGCTGTTGTTGGAAATGATTACCAATTTAAGCTAGCTGGCTAACATATGGACAGCAGCTGTACAGTTATTGTTCTTTCAAGTTAGAGCCCCTTAAAACGTCTGTGCACGTCCCTGTACGTCTGCAGTATCACAACTTTTATTTGCTGACAGGTTACAATAGAGAATTCTAGTGTGATTACTGAACTCGAATACATTTGTTTTTGGTATATTAGCATCATAAATTGACTACCAGCTATGTCCATTTCAATTCAAAAATAGGCTCCCTGTGGCAATTTATCTATTTATTTTCACTTAGCGGTTTTTTTTAAATTAGACATGCAAATTCACAGGCTATTTTGTAATTGTATTAATGATTCCATTAAAATGTTAAACATTTGTAAAATTGATGAGAAAAACTACGTAAACTTACAGATTTTATTTTTACAGTGATAGGCAAAAATAATTCTTACATTCTCCAATTGTAAAAGTGTGTAGCAATTACTCACAAAAAAGAGCTTTAACAATTTTAATCAGATAATTAAATTCATAGTTCACCAAATGTTCACCAATATTAATAATAATAGAATACATATATGCAGTTATTTATTCATTTATAATTAAAAAAAATGTTTTTTTGATCAGCCTTCCCTGTGGGTGCTCAGCCTTTACACTAGGTAACAAACTCTCCCCAGACCTTTATTTCCTAACATTTTAAGGATTTTGCCTAGTTAAGTGTAAGGTAGTGTTCCGCCACGAGTCTCCAGAACAGCTTCACTGCTTCTTGGTATAGATTGTCCCAGTCTGTGGAGCTCTACTGGAAAGATGAACAGCATTCTTCCTAAAGATATTACCTTCTTTGGTTTTAAAGGTGGCTAAGGGTTGGGGTTAGCACGTCAGTCCAAAACCTCCTATAGGTGATTGATTGAGATCTGGAGTTTTATACTACACAAAGCGTTATAGTATTTTAACTGATCATGATCCAAACAAGATACGACACCCTTTATTCTTTTGCCATGGTCGTGCTATGAGTTACTATAATTACAAGACATGTAAATTGTGTACACATCAATATCAAAGTTGTAGTTTTAAATGGGTAACTCTGCTGCATCCAACTTAATTATACAGAAGTGCTTGAAAATGAAAACAAATATGGACGCCATTTAAGGTAATTAAGCCCAAATTGTATGGATTTAATAATATTATTGAATGATATTGACTATACAAAGTCCCTCGCACTTATATCTTGGAATGTGTAGTGATGTGAAAGCCCAAGTTGTCAACTTGGGAATCTTTCCCATCCCTACCACCATAAAATGAACATGACGTTAGACCCCACCTTTTCAGAAAGGGCGACGATGGATCCCTGTTCCAGCACAAATTATTGTACCATTTAATTTGTAGGTTTTATGTACATGTATGTGTTCATTTGAAGCTGAGATGTTTCAGTTGCACCTGATGAGCCGTGCTGCCTCGCCTGTTGCAGATTCACTAAATAAACATTCACTCAGACTTTTTTTGTGCTCTTTTTTGATTTCATCCCCCACCGCCACCGCCTTCACCACCGCGGCTCTGTAGGAGGATTTTCCCATCCATTGCTAAGGGAGGCGTGCTCCATTGTGCAGTTTCTAATGATGATTGTAATGATGGCTTGTCCATCTTTGATAAGAAACAGCACGCCCCTCATTAAAGGGCCCGGGGCCCCGGTTCTCATGGCTGCCGATCCTTCCCCGGAGTCGGACAGCAGGCGAGGGGAGGCGAGACGACACCCGTGGCACACGCCTGTTGACCGAGCCACAAAGCAAAAGCGTGTGACACTCACCCCACCCCCGCCGGTCCCATTGTCCTCCCCGTGGATCCCACAGACAAGACCAATCCTGTTACCCTCCCACCCCTCACCCACCCCTCCTCGCAACCACAAAAACCACAACACACACTCGTATGGCTGCTCAACATACACACACTCCCCTTCTTCCTTTCCCTCTCTCCTTCACAATCAATTTTACCAATCAGCTGATCTCTCTCTTTCTCACACATCCACCAGGGGTTACCCTCATCGCCTTCTCCTCCCACCCTCACCCCAGCTCTTCCATCAACTCCCCCTTCACCATCAGCTGCTACGTAAGGTGGAAATCCATCATTGTGTGTAAAGAAGGTGCTTGTGCATGCTGCGCAGCCATTACCATACACACACACTTAGTGGGGTGTGTTTTGGGGGGGATGATTGGTCCAGGAGGTTAGGGGGTGCTCTAATTCACTGATTCACATGCAGACAGTATTTCTTGGGGTGTTGGAGGAGGGTGTGGCAGGTGGGTGGGGTCTGGGTTTTAGGGATGCTGGATGGTGGTGGTGATGGTCGTGGGATGGAGGAGAGAAGAGGAGGAGGGGGGAGGCACAGGGTGAAGAGGAGGG